GTAAAGTAAAGCTATGGGTAAAACTTAATACAAGCAAAGATTTTGTGAAAAAGATTTTTTTTCATTTTATTTTTATTTAATTTTTTTTCTGAAGAATTTTATATAGCAAAAGTAGATTACACGAGATGATGAGAAAATTATTGCATATTTTGCTTCCCGGGTTTTGTTATTTCTTTTTTAGTTTTTTTTTGTCTTCTTTCCTTCTTATTGCCTTTGTTATATTGTGTGATTCAATATTTTTACGTTCTTATTTTACGTTCTTATTATTTTTGTTTTTATGAAATACTTTTGTTGATGATGCATTTGCATTTAAAAAGCTGACGCTTAATTTCGACGTTAAGCAGCACGCCAAAATACATTAAAAAAAACGAAAAATAACAAAAAAAAATGGTACCTAATGGTTTTGAAGTCAATTAAAAAAATATAGAATAAACGAGAAGAAACGTAAGAAAATTTGGTATATATAAACTATTCATAAGAAAGTAAAATAAAGATGAGCAGTAGAATTTAAAGATCAAGCCGAGGATCATTTTATTGAATTATTATTTTATGTTGTATTAGAAATTGTTTTTTTTTTTGGTATAGCTATGTTTTTGCTCTTTATATGGGTTTAATAAGAAAATGAAGTAATATTATAGGTATATAGAAAATAAAATTGGATCTTCAAGTATATTCATCTATAGATGAAGAATAAAGTGATGCTATTTAAGTCTTTAAGTATCTAGTCATGATTTAAAGAATATAATTTCAATTTTCGGTATTTCTTTTTCTTCCTTTCTCGGGAATTATTTCTCATTTTCTTATTTTCGTCTATAGCTATATTATATTGGGATCTTTTCTGAACAAGAAATCAAAGAAAATTTTAAAAAGAGAGAAAAGAAAAAAAAAAGACAAGAAACACGATTTTGGGATAAGAAGCTGGGAAGATTTTATTTAAAGATCAATTTATATATAAGTAGTTGAATATGAAATTGTATGAATACATTGAATATAAGACAGAACAAACAAAAAACTGAAATAATAAGTGGAATTTTTACTTTTTAATTTTAGATTTTTGTTTTTCTCTTTTTCTTCATTTCATTTTAAATTCGTGAAGAAAGGATGTTTAAACAGCAAGTGGTCGCAAATCTATTCCAATATATTTTAATTCGATATGAGCAATTTGATGCAATATTTTTTTTATATTTCATTTTAATTTTTTATTTGTCTTGTTTTACTGAGCCGATTAAAAATTGAAATAAAAATAATAGAAATTTAGATGAAAATGAAAATGTAAATATTATAATTCATGAGAAATCATTCAAAAGTATTACTTAAGCATTATTCACATATATGCATATGTGTGTTCAAATGTGTATAAATATGTATAAATATTAAATTCAAATTGAATTTGAAAGGAAGAAATATGATATAATCTGCTTTATGTTGTATTGTATAAAACCTAAATTTTTACATAGTAAAATTTATGAAAATTAAAATATTTACTGAAAATTTGTTGCAAATAAGTTTAAATTTAAGTTCTTTGATTTAAATTGAAATTAAAATAACAATTATTATCAAATTTTAATATATTAAAAAATTGCATACTTTTCGGGGCAAATTGGAAAACACAATATTTTAACAATTACAAGGATGTATAATGTATTATAATGAAAATTCATTTGAATTTTGCATTTTTCATTCACTTGTTTAATAAATTATTGTCGCGGGAGTGCGAAACACATTATATCGCACCTTCAATTCAAGTATATCATAAGCCAAAACTAATATGGGTTGAAATTTTTAAAGTATTTTTTTTTTATTTTTTTTTTTTTGAAACCAAACAAAAATTTGATACTGAACCTGAATTAAAGGGTTAATTTTTTTTTATTAAATCATAAAAAATGTATAATTAATAGAATGAAATTATCAAAAGTTTTCCATTTTCAAAATTTTCTGAGGCAATCTTCGGTAAGAAATTGAGAAAATTTTAGCCAATTACTCCTCAACTAATTTAATTTCGAAATCATTTAAATTCGCATTCGAACGCTTCATGTTTAAGTCGATGTAAGACGTAACCCAAATTAAAATTGCAATACACAATCTTACAATAATTGAATAACTTAATGGGAATAATCGAAAAATCATCTTATTTTACTTATTATTTTTCAATTCTATTTGCGCTATATAAAGCTTTATAAAAAGTGTATTGTTATAGAGAATATTGCACCAAAACAAAAAAAAACGACTTATACACATTTGAATTTTCATATACAACTAAATATTATCAATACACCTTTAAAACACCACCGCTCTCAATTAATATGCACAAAAATTCCAATAAATGAATTGAACTTTTAGTTCGATTTTTTCTAATTTTTTTCCTCATTTTCATTTTGACTTCTGCCTCGATCGTTTAATTTTTTTTTTTATTAGCATCTCTTAACGAAAAAAAAAGGTTACCAGCTTAACGTTACCATTTAATAATTGAGTAAGAGTTGAAGTGATCTTAAAAATCAGTGATTTTTTAAAAGAATCCTTACAGGTACAAGTTTATTTATAAAAATTTTATTAAATTTCGGAAATGTATAACATTGTTACTTGTTTTTGTCATTTGAATCAGTTTCTGCCAATCAATATCAATCCATGATATTGCATACTTTTAGGATTAGAACAGAGTTTAATGCAATAAATTTCTTATTTTAAACCCCATTTTATTACAAACTGAGTCGACAATGATTAACGCAACAATTAAATGATTCTACTCGTACCTTTAACAATATTCACAAAATTACTTCAGGGGAATGCGTTCTCAAAAATGATAAAAAACCTTAATTATTTAAAAAATTTTTTTTTTTATAATTTTCTACCGATGGTAGCTCCTTCTATTATTTTTTTATTTCTTTCTACTTTTACATTATTATACACAAAAAAAAAAGCAGTGTAATTTGGTGGCGTATATCATCATCATCAGTCATTCTCCAAAACAAAAAAAAAAAACTTAAAATTGAATTGCAAAAAAAAAAAAACGAGCGAGCGTTGATTCATGTATAATGCATATAACAAAATCAACAAAAAAAAAACGAAATAAGCCAAAATAAAATTCCCAAAAAAAAAACGAGAAACGAAAAACCTCACCCTCCCTCTTCTTTCCTTCACCTTAAATAATGAATCAGTGTGGCTTCAGATGTCTTTTGATTATCCGCGATTTGTTTATATCTTAAACTAAAATAAAACCAACAAAACTGTATACTCGCGATAATCTTGTTAATGGTTGTTCTTTTTTTTTCTTTTTTTACTGTTTTTATTGTGCTTTCTGCCTTGCCTTTTAATATTCGATGTACCTATTTTTCATAATAAAAAAAAAACTACATGTGTATAAATGAGCATACTTATACATACAAGATACACTATAAATCTTAAATACGAATAACCTATATACATAGTTCGTATATATATATATATATGTATATATATAAATAACCCTGTATATAAAATTTTTCGTTTTGTGTTTTTTCCTTTTTAGACTGCGCGCCTGTTTTAAATTTTTATTTCACTATTTTATATCTGCAGTGCCACATTATATATGTAGTTTTTTTTTTTTTTTTTGTTTTCAATCTGTTTTTTAGTATTTTAAATTGTTATGTTAGGCTACACATTTTTAATTTTTAATTCACTCAGAAAAATTTGTCAGTGAAATTGAATTTCATTGTAATTTCTAATAATTTTTGCGTTCAATATGTAGACCAATGATATTTGATCAGTTCGGCAGATGTTGAATAATATTTATGAATTCAATTTTGTGCTCCCTAAATGGCACAGCTTCTCTATGAAATACAGTAGTTGGTATTTATATCTGGTTCATCTTTTTTTCAAAATAATAGAATATTTACGACCATTTCACATAAAGAATGCATTTATGTGAAAATTTGAAATATTAATTTATGAAAGACACTATTTTGGCGATAAAATTTAAGCTTAGAATTTGTCACGAAAAATTTACAGTTTTCCACTTTACTCGATATAGAGTACATTCAATTGTGTATTTTTTTATAGAACTCTTTGATAAAACTCCTGAAATAATAAATGTCATGTTCAAAATTTTTCATTTTAATTTTGTCATGGGAGCGCTCACGGTGCATGAAACTTAATAAATTTTTTGTTGCTTTGTTTAATTGTAATTAAACCCATCTATCGTAATAAATATGCTCTACAATTTTATATGTTATGAATTGTCGATTATATCTCATTTTCAGTTTAACATTGAGCACAATGATCAAAATTCCTCAATTATGAATTAAATAATCGATAACTGTTATACTAATAAAATTCCAATATAACTGTTATATTAAAAATTGTCATATTCAATTGTTATATTAAAATAACTGTTATATTAAAAATTGTCGTATTCAAACACAAAAAAAATTTTATAACCTGTTACTAGAACAAAATTTTCATAGTGTATAACACAATTTCATATATTTTTTTTTTTCATTTTTTATTATAACGATTTTTTTTCTACTCTGTTCCTTCATTCTTATTATTATTATTATTTTTCTTTTTTTATTGTTATTAAAGAAGGCATGTGGCCAAAACGACTGTGAGAAATCAACTCCGGAATAGTTTCCCACGATCGGTAATACCCAAATACACTAATAAGAAGCCCGTCGAATGAAATAAACGACATAAAAATAAAAAAAAAAATAAAAGATAAAAAAAAAGAAGAAAAACAAATCATAAAAAAAAAACTTAAAAAATTCCTATACATTATGAGCCAACAAACTGAGCCAGTCATCCATCCAATTCGATCCCATAGCACATTTAACAACAACAAAATAAATAAAAAACACAAAGTGGTTGCTTATAATATAAAAATATACAAGAAAATACAATGAGAAAATTTTATGTATGTATGTAAATATTAATATATGAATAATATACACATAAAATGTATAGATATAGAAATTTACCCGATATGGACTGTAAATATCATTCGGATTGGATCAAGAAAACAAACGAACAGTGGAATTGAGAAGAAAAAGAACGTTCGTTTTTCACAAGAGTTTTAAAACTGAATTTTGCGATCGCTCTGTTATTGTGTAGTATAAAACAAAACGGGAAATAATATGAACGAATCATTTATCGCGCAGTCTCAGACTAGTAAAGAACGTTCGGATTAATATTAAAAGAGAAGAAAAATAATTAAAAAAAAAAAATACGAAAATTTATTTTATAAAGGAATTCAAGAAAAAAATTGACTTTAATGAAAAACAAAAAAATATTTTAATTAAACCAAATTTAAGTGATCTTAGAACAATTAAAGGAATAAATAAATTGAAAAAAATAAATTCTTAGTGAATGTTATCAATTATTATGAAAAGGATATAAAAAAAATTAAAAAAAAAAATTAATAAAATTAATTTTTAACACTCAAAAAAGTCTTCCAAAAATAAAATTAAAAAAAAAAATTTTAAATTAAAAGTGAAAAGAAAAAAAATAATGGTATTAGAAATGGAAATGTCAAAAACATATCAATATCGTAAGGTTATGAAACCAATGTTAGAACGTAAACGTCGTGCTCGTATCAATAAATGTTTAGATGAATTAAAGGATATTATGGTTGAATGTTTAACACAAGAAGGCGAGCATATAACACGTTTAGAAAAAGCTGATATTCTTGAATTAACTGTTGAACATATGAAAAAATTACGTGCACAAAAACAATTACGTATACAAAATGGTAATGGTAATGTTAATGGCTTAGATGCTGCTAAATTATCTGTAGCGGAAAGTTTTCGTGCCGGTTATGTACATGCTGCCAATGAAGTATCAAAAACATTAGCAACAGTACCTGGTGTTAGTGTTGATTTAGGTACACAATTAATGAGCCATTTGGGACATCGTTTAAATTATTTACAAGTTGTTGTACCAACTGCTGTTATAACAACACAAAATTCTGGTTCATCAACATCATCATCATCATCAGGACCAACATCAATTACTGGTACAACAATTGGTATTGGTGGTAATATAACATCTGCATTAGCAGCATTTACAAATAATACATCAACAACATCAATACCAATTATTTCATCATCATCATCACCAGTATCAACAACATCTTCATCATCATCACATATAACAACAAATTTTGGTGGATATTTTGATCATCATACACATCATCATCAACAGCAATATCAACAGCAATTACAACAGCAGCATACAAGACAACATTTACAGCAACAACAACAACAACAACATCAAAATAATACTAATGTTCAATTAATGCAACATGGACAACAAGAAACAACATCTGTTATTAGAATACCAGTTATAACACCACCACCATCAGAATGTAGTAGTGATAGAAGTTGTAGTCCAAGTCCAAGTGAATCACAAACAACAAATGGTAATGGTCAACCATGGAGACCATGGTAAGAATATCAGAAAATATGTATTATAAAAAATATAATTTTAATTTTGTAAATTGTTAAAATATAAATCCCAAACTATATTCCAAAAAAAAAATTAAATTTCGGAAAAGTGAAGAAATATTTCATACCCTATACTTTTTAAATACTTGCTTATATTAACTGTTATATTGCTTATATTAACTGTTATATTGAATGAAAGTAGATTACACGGAAGTCTTTAATGTTAAATTTACAAGGTAATAAATGCCTTAAATTCCAATAGAAATAGAAAAAAATTCCCATCAAAATTGTAAAAAATAAAAATTAAAAGAAGTAAATTTAATATTTATGAAGCAATTTTGTTTTGTTGTTTTTGTTATACTCATTATAATAAAACTGCTAAACTTAATTATAAATTTACATTTAAAATTATAAAATTAAAATTTCTAATTTTTTTTCTAAGACGACCTTTAACTGTCGTCCCACAATATTTTAAAACAATATGGAAAAGAAAAATTGCAATAAAAAAATTTTTAATAATTTCAATTTTATATAAATATCAAATATAACAAAATGGAATTTTTCAATATAAAAATATACAAAAATTTTAAGCTTTAAAACTTTCTTAGAGAAAATTTTTTCTTCATTTCTTAATTATAATTATTAAAATATTCTTATATAATTATTATATGTATATTATGTTTGTAATGGCTGTGCCTTAATAATTTTTCTAAATAAAATTTTATTTAAAATATAATTTAATATTTTTTGTAAAATAATAGTAAACATATTTTTAATATTATAGAAATTAAAATTTAATCAAAAGAAAATTATTCAGAAAAATTATAGAAATTCCAATTAGAAATGTAAAGGAAATTTCGGTTTATTCACCAATACTCTGTTAGTCGCATTATTTTAAGATGACGAAATACTATTGAAAAGAATTTTAGAATAGAAATTATTAAATACCTACAACAATACTAAATAAATTTTTATAGAATTTCGAATTTCGGTTTAGTTAATAGAATTGCAATTCTCGAAATTAATTTTATTCAGAAATGTAAAGTGATGCCTCTAACAGAATATGGTTGAATATATTTAACAATAATACTTACTAAATACTAAATAATATTGAACTGTAAACAATAATTTATAATATATAACCATATAAATCTTCTTCATTCATTATAAGACTTTTCTCTAAGACAAAACATTAATTGAATATTTTCAAATTTTTTACTCAAAATTCATTAAAATTCATTAATCTCTTATTAAATAATTGTACTACTATGTAAATGAATATTTCTTCAAGGCAATTAATATTTGAATACTGTGATATAGAAAAAAAATATACATATATATATATATACAAATAAAATTAAAATAAAATTTATATAAAAAAAAAAACTCATTAATTAAATTTAAAGTAAAAAAAAATAAATAATTAAACAAATTAATTAACTAAAAAATGTAACCTATTGAACTCATTTGAAGACCAGTAATAATTATACATATATACAAAAATTTAATGTTAAATTTAAAATTGAAAAAAAAAGAATTATGAAAAAAAACAAGGATTTCTTGAATATTTTATTTTTTTTTTATATTTTAATTTATTTTTTAAGAAATATTATTATTAAAAATTTAAATATTGTTTATTATATAAAAATAAATTATAAAAGAAAAGACAAAATTAAATTTTAAATAAAATAATTATTTTATGAATAAAAAAAAAATATTATTAAAATTGTAAATTTTTTTTTTTTTATTATTTTTATGTAGTTTTTAAGGATATTTTTATTTATAAGAAAGAAAAAAAAATATATTATATTTAAAAAAGAAAGAGAGAAAAAAAGAAAAAACAAAAATATTAAAAATTTTCAATTAAAATGAAAACATTTTTAAAAAATTAAAAACAATGAGATTTTTTTATTTAATTTCGTAAATTTTTGTGCAAATTTCAGAATATTTAAAAATTTCAACTCTTTCGATTTGAACCAAAGAATTAACAATGTTAACTACAAAATTCAATATTTAGTTTCCAGATCAAAGAAAAAAATTTATAGCGCATGCAGGGCATCAAATCAAATTGACAAAATATTTGCCATAAAATACCAGACCTCAATTAAAAAATTTTGTAACACTTAATACTCATTATAATAAAAGTGTATGGAATATGAAATTCGTTTAAAAACCAAAAATTTAATTATAATTATAATACGGCGGCTGTGCTACAGAATATGAAAAATTATTAATTTTAATAACTACCTTGATAGGTCTACATAGTATTGTAGAACCAATAGATTTCAATTATCTAATTATTGTAGATAATTTCAATTGAACATCAATTAATGAATTTTCTAATAAATTGTACATAATTTCATTTCGTAATTTTAAAACTGCAAAAATTAATATAAAAATATTTTTCGAAAGTGGTTTGAAAAATTTTGAATGACTCATTATTTTATTAATAACACCTATATGCATCTTATGAGTCTTAGGAATGAATATGGTTAGTATATCCATACTATACACAGGGAGTGATTAATACCGTAGATTGTACCTATATTGTAGATTCCAAAGATTGCAGGGGTAATAGTGCACAACGCTTATTTAAAAACAGACCCATTGTGTCCAATTGAGGAACAAGTACCTATACAATCTACCATCCTAATAAATTCGAGCAATTTGGAAGGTCCGACAGACCGAGGCCTACTCGTCTTCTCTCCGATTAATACCGTAAATAATGAATCAAATTTGAAGCCGAATGCTATATATTTAGTTAAATTTTATTATTTTTAGTTAAGAAAATAATAACTTATTTATAGTTGTTACGAAGACTTGGGCATATAAAATTTATAATCATAATTTTCATCAAATTTATCTACTTTTCACATAAAATTGCAATAGTTGCTAAATCACCAGTTTTGCACTTATTTTGTGATTCCGTATTAGAACACTGGACCTAAAATTAAATTTTAAATTGTGGTCTAATTTAATAGTACTGCTAACATGTTTTTAAAAGAAAATTATTTGTTGTGTATTAATAATATCATCGCGTATAACTCGTATAACAATTGATTTCTATAAGTATACAATGAATGAATTGATAAAAATACTTATTTGTCCCATAATTCTTGAACTTAATAGAGGTTGAATATTATAAGCTTTGAGTTATCAGAGAATTAATTAATAATCTAACTGAATAGTTCAAGAAAATAAATTCTATCTGAAAAATCAAAAATTGTTCCTTATAAAAAGCATTTCTTTATAATTCATAAAATAGTAATTGAAGAGCTTTTACTTTTATGCATATCCTTAAAATTTTTATTAGATTGTATACCTTCTTTGAATATTGATTTTCGTATATAATTATGCAGCAGTATGAACAATGCAGGTTATGCAAGTTAATGAAAAAATCTAAATTTTTTTGCAATTTTAATGCGGTACATTTAATTTTTCTTTGGATTACTTAAAAATTAATGACCAGAACCTTTTTTAATTTTTTTAAAATTTTCATTTGAAATTTTTAAAATATTTCAAATAATTTTCGTAGCCGTCACATAAAAATAAGGGAATTAGTGGTGAATTTTCAAATTTAATTAAAAGTTCAATTAGTAGAGCTTACTCCCCTCTTTTCTTAGATTTCACAATTATTTACAATTTTAAGAGATCGTAAAAATGTCAAATAATTTAAGTATTTAATTCAATTCAATTAAATTAAATTTAGAAAACTAAAATATTATATGATTTTCATTGAGACATTGGTGAATAAAAATTTATGTTGTATAAGAAATTGTGAATACTCAATAATTATAATTAAAATACCTCATCAAACTTTCTACAGTAAATTATTAAAATTCGGAGTAGAAAATGAAAAAAAGAAAACTTTAAGAAACACAATTTTTGTTTCAGCTTTAATATTAAAAATATTAATATACTTGATAAGTACACAAGCGGGATTTCTCGCCACAGTATTCTAAAATATTTTTATCATTATTTTTCTTTCATTTTTAAATCATAATTAAAATTTCTAACACGAATCAGTTATAATTATATGTCTTTTGCCATTCATCAACATTTCAATACTTCAATATTTATGTATATATATTTATATATATGAAATTGTATGTGAATAATTCGCGATTTAATTTTAACTATATATGAATTGTAATTGAAAATTAAAATTGAAATTATTAAAAATTCAAATTGTACTCAACTACTTTTTTTTTTTTGGTGAATTTTTCTTAAATATTCTTCTATTCGCTTTCTTTTTCTTTTTGTACACACATATATAATTTTAATATAGCATGGTAGGATTTACCGATATAAATTTATTCAGTACGTGCTAAGGGGTTTAACGAAATTTTAAGCGAAAAATGACATACAAGAAAAGAAAAAAAGCAAAAGCAAAGCGTGAAAACAAAAACAAACACAAAGAATTAAATCCGCCTTTTCTTACAAAATTTGAGATAAGCAAAAGAAAAATCTTTTTTTTAATTATATTCAAGCAGGCTAAACGTATGTGTGCGTTCCGCTAATGATTCGATAATAGAGAAATAATTTTAGAGAAAGAAAACAAAAAAATTTGAAAATTTTCTTAATTCTCTCATTTTTTTTTCAATTTTTTTTTTTTTACGAAAATTTCCTTTTTTTTTGTAAAATGTGGTTGATTACCATGAATATATGTGTGTGTAGGAAATTATATTCACAATATACGTTTTAACCAAAGCAAATTTTAATAACCTATAACGAAAAGATCAATATTCAACTTATCTCACCGGACAAACAAAAAAAAAGAAATTCACCATTAATTTTAAATTTAACTTAACAGACCAACCAAATCAAACCAATTCACATTTTGATTTTTATAACAATATACCACCAATTCTTAAAAGCCCGACGATAGTTCAATTTAACAAATAAGTGACCAACAATAATATTTGTGAAATGATTGACGAATCAACCATATCGGCGTTTCATATACATACATATACATACATATATAAAAATGCAATCATACAAACATAATTATATATTTTTAAAATAATAATAATAATGATTGATAATAATATAAAAATGGAATAATCATCATCAATAAAATCATAAAATCAATATTT